GCGCTCACCGCCCGCAGCCTCCGACGGAGCGGCCGGGTCCTCCGCGTTCCCGGCGGGCTGCAGCTTCGGCTGATGGACTGTGGTTTCTCCTTAGGTCGCCATGGATCTTGAAGGGGACCGCGGGGGAAGAGCAGGGAAGAACTTCTACAAGCTGGACCAGAAAAGGTTTGTTCTGCTTTCGTAATTCACGTGGCTTTCATAGTTGCCGTGATTCACCTGGCCGCTCGTTTCTAGCCTCCGGCTCAGGGATAAGTGATGAAGATGGGGTGGTTGTTGCCCTTAGAGCTTTCAGAGGTGCAAGCCAGCCCGTGGAAGCAGTCCCTGCTCAGAGCAGAAGTCCTTGGCACAGCTTACCTGACTTTCTTGGGCCTGGTGAAGGTCCTCACCCCGACTGGCATCGCCCATGCCCTTCTGTGTTACATTATGTTTCGCTTTCCAAGCAGTGTTGATCCACACACTCGAGCCATCCTCTGCTTGGGCTCTGCTCTGTGCTCCGGTGTCTTGTGATAAACAGCGACGAAAACATTGCATGTTTGTGGCACAGCAGATGGAGCAGAAGGCAAAACTACATCTCGGTTATTTTTGTTTTGTTTTAACTGGCAACAACTATGTGCATATAAAATTGGTGATGAACCGCAGAAAGAAAATAATTATTTGAGGAATATTTGTTCACAGTACTCTGCCTAGCTGAGAAATTTTAAACTTCACTCAATAGGTTCATTGTTAGTAAAAAGTGTAATATATATTGTAAGATAACATGCTATTCAATATAGTGGTTACTAGAAACCGAGCTTTTCAGTGTAAGTGAAGAGATGTAAATGTGTAAGTCACTGTTTAAAGATGTTAAACTTGTATTGCAAATGCCAGTATGAAATCATGGTTTTTTAATAGTTTATTTTCTGTCCACTAAGAAAGATGCACTTTTAGTGCCAGATCTTGATTTCTGAACACCATTCTTTATTAAAAAGGAAGAGTACCCTACAGAAAAATAGCTGGTTTCAGCCACGTCTAGGGCAGGGAAAATACAAAGTGTGCTGGGAGTGTCTTCTATACCCCAAAACAGAAGTAAAGTTTAAGAGTGCAGTTAAAAGCCTTCGGAACTGGGCTTGAAGGGGCCTCCACTATCTGGGACACTGAGTATGAAAGCAATATTAACCATAAATGATTTTGAGGTATTGAATACAATACAACTGGTGAATCCTCACAAATATTCTGTGAAGAAGAAAAGGTAAAGAGAGTATGACAGGTAGGGGAAAAAAAGGAACCTTCTTTACAAAAAAAGGTAGCTGTATTTATCATGTTGGAACCTGCATTGTCACACTTAATTCAGACACAGATTGTCACTGAATGCTAAACCATTCAGAAAAAAGTTGTATCTAATGATTATGACCTCATTTCTTACTAATGGGAAGAAGGGAAATGCACTTTTCCGATGAGAGATTTTGCAGTTGTCATCTTAAGCAAGTGGCCAGACTTAGCATCACCTATGTTGGATAGACTCTGTTAAATTATTCTGCATGCATTGGAATTTGAGTGTACAACACCACAAAGATAGTATGTTTGCAAACAAATTTAGTATGAATCCAACCAAGCTTCCGGACTGGTGCTGTCCAATAGAAATAGGAATTGACATTTTGTCTTTAATGGTAAGACCTCCGATCTGCTGTGTATTCCACAGTTACTGTACTTCTCAACTTACACTCAGTTTAAAACTGACATATACAAGATATGGGGCATTCCATAAAATAACTATTCTTGTCCTTTAAAAAAAAGTTAATATAAAAAAAGGTGAGGGCTGGTAGATTAAAAGGGAATAAAGAGGGGCCAGGATTTAGCTCAGTGATTCCACTGTTTGCCTTGCAAGCACAAGGACCCAAATTCAATCCCCCTGTACAAAAAAAAAAAAAAAAAAAAAAAAAAAAAAAAAAAAATAATTCTTGGGAAAATTGAATTTGGACTGAATATTAGATGATGTCAAAAGTGCTATTAAAATTCTTAGATTTGATAATGGTAGAAAATCCATAGTTATAACTTTTGCAACTTACCTGTAAATGTTTCAGCATATATTTACAAATAGTGATATATACTCCTTTGTGTAAAGAAAAAATATAGTCAAAATCTAGATATAAATAAATCTAGGTGAATTGTTTAGGAAGCCTTAAATTGTTTGAATTTTTCTGTTCATTTAAAATTTTTCATAGTGGAAAATTTAAACTCATAGTGCATAAACAAAAGGACTCCACAGAATATGTTTTTAAGTATTTTAAAAAACATGGTAAATAAATAATATGTTAGTTTATATCCTGAAGACACAAAACTTAGATATATTTGAGTAAGAAAATTGAGGGTATGTACAAGGAAGCGGTAGAGAGAGAAATTTGGTTGATCATCTCTGTCTTCATTTTTCTATTGATACTACCATGACCTATAGACTTTGCTTCAAAGTAGAGATTTGTAAAGCAGTTTTATTAATCTGTGCTCATTACCATTGATTTCAATCTGTTATTAAAATTATCTGTTTTAATGTTGGTTTGTAAAGACATATCTGACTTTGCTCATAGACAATGCTGGGATAATAGTACTATCTGTAGTACCTGTATTTGTAATCATCCTCATTGAAGTGATATTTTGTGAGTGACTTTCCTTCGTAAGCTCTATGTTCCCTGCTGTTGGGGTTAAATGAGGAATCTGGTAGGTGTGAGAGCTCCTATGAAAGTGTATTTCTGTGCAGTGCAGTAGCTCAGAAGTCTAAGATCACAGTTTACAGTCTGGTGGTCAGGGCACACACACACAAAATTCAGAATTGTTTATGAATGGTGTGTGGGTATATTTTCATTGGCCAATGCCTGTAATACTGTAAATTCTCCACAGTAGTATCAGAAAGAATGTAAGAAACAGCTTTAGATTTAAAAACTGTATGACTGTTTTACTTTTCCCATATTCTGGAAACAGGATACTGACATCACACCTTTACTAGGATAAGATGGGCCCAAACCTGAGGGTGTTTGTGTTTTCTTGCTGTCACCCCGAGGCTAAATATTCATAAGCTCTGGATATTATTCTTTGGTACCTCATTTTGTTTAAAGAACAGAGAAAGATAAATTGACTGCTTGAACTGGAAAATCTCTTAAAAAATACTACAAGTCTTTTCTAAGAGTCTTTCTTGTATCATTAGAAAATGAGGTTGGTTTGTTATGGTTGGTTTGCTTTCCTGTTCAAGGTGGTGTTTGTGCACTATGGGAGCATTGCTGACTGAGTTAGATTCTTTTGAACCTAGCTTCACTATCATAGTTGGCCTTTTAATGACTAAGAATACCTTTGTCAGAATTTATAGAACATATTTTTAGGTCAGAGCTTTGCTACATAAACTCAAGGTCCAGCTTTTGGTTCAGGATTAGAGTTGCTCATAAAGTAAGTTAATTATTCTTTTCTTAGGCTAGTTGTGCCCACCACTGCTCTTGTTAATATCCGGTGGTAGATAGATAGAATGTCTACTGCTAGAGTTATTCACAGGGTCATTAAAGAGATTTATAGAGCACATGAATGATTTTCTGAATTTAATGAAAAGAGGAGACTCTTATTTTACTATATATGTAATATATATATATATTTAGTTATGAATGATGTGTGTCTGTGTGTGTGTGTGTGTGTGTGTGTATGCATCATAGAAAATTAAAATATTTACCCAAGGGCACAAGGAAGAAGCTTTTTAAGTAGAAATTCTAATATCCAGTAATATTGAGGTATATAGATTTCTGAGATCTATGTAGACATTTGTACTCTTTGTGTGTGTGTGTGTGTGTGTGTGTGTGTGTGTGTGTGTGTGTACGGGGGATTTACCTCTGGCCCTTGGGCTTGTGAGGCAGGCGGTAGAACCATTAAGCCAAATCCCCAGCCCCATTTGTACTCTTAAATCACACTATTAACCTGTTTGTTTTTTTTAATGACTAGTGTAATCATTTTTCATCCTACTTGTCATTAAATATAAGCACTAGATAATAATTTGGTAATTAAAAATTTGTATAATATTTAAAGTGTCTTGTATTTGGTTTGTTGTATTTTTCAGTAAAACGCAGAAGAAGGAAAAGCAACCAACTGTCAGTACCTTTACCATGGTGAGCTTTAAATTGTAAATTGGGCACCTTCTCTAGAAACAGAGTATTTCTTCTCTCATTTCCACTTTTTCAGAACTGCTTATTTTATGGAATATTTGGTTTCAATGTATATAATATATTTTGATCACATTCAGCTCCCCAGTACCTTTCTTATACCACCAAACACATATAGATGTATCTCTTCTGGTATAATATTTTCTCTGAAAATCTGGTAATGGAGAGGCAAAATGAATTAGTTAAATTCACAGTGGTTTATTTTCAGAGGAATATTCACAGCCACTTGCATGTGAATAGAATATCAACAGTCTTTTTTGTAGGTTTCATTATTCTAATTAGTTATTTCAGTAGTGTCCTGTTTCCTATAGTAATGTTTCTCCCAGTGATGGCCTTTGCCATCTGGATAGAGCAAGCCAGTTACATTGGATGTAATTTTTAATGGTTCAAAACCCTGGTATATTTGAGGTCAAAGTCCCAAGCATCCATAATAAAAGGTAGCAAAGGAAAATCTGTTATTGTGATTTAGAATATGTCATTATTCTGCTCTGCTGAATAGCTGAAAATCTGGAATTTGAAAATCTTAACATAAGGTTATTTCATTTTTTGGTTGCATAATGATAATTTAGAAGCTGTTCTTTAATCCCACTGGGAGTAAGACAGGAATTGTATGGATTAGGTAGTTGCTGATGATCTCTATCTCAGTAGAGTGTAAACTCGGATGAATTTAGACAAATTATTTATGTGAATTCTTCTAGGGACACAATTAAGTCTTAAAATAGACATGTCATAATTAATTACACAATAGATTTTTAAATTTAAAATTTATTTTTATTTTCTTTCTATTTATTTATTTAGTACTGAGGATCAAACTCCAGACCTTGCACTTGTGAGGCAGGCGGCCAAACTACTGAGCTAAAACCTGGCTAGATTTTTTTTTAAATGAGGAGAAATGGAAAGATCATTGTGAAGCTGGTTCTTAGCAAACTGAATTTAAAAGAACAGTGTAGAGATGCCTTATTGGAAGCTCCATCTGGGTGACTAGCGGAGTGGTGCATGAGCCATGCTCTGAAGAAGTCCACTAGGAAATGGAGACTGGTGGTGGGGAGACAACACCAAAGATGGAAATAGAGGAGGGCAACCTGGAGGAGAAGCACACCAGGTGAATCCAGGTCAGGGGGACTTAGAAAGGGAAGCTGGGCCGCTCCTCATCCCTGGTTACAACCCAGGTCCAGCAAACAGCTCATCTTGGGAGGGGCTGTCACAGCTTGAGGGAGGGAGCTCAGTCCTGTAGGGGGCTGGACGACTGTGAGGGGCTCCTAGCCTGACAACCTACTGCCCCATTCCATGCCCACTTATCCTGGCTCCCTTCTCCCTGAGAGAGGAGCCCACTAGGAGAAAAACTTGCAGATCAGGGCACTGGAGAAAGTGAAAGCTAGAGAATTGTTCAGAAGGCAGTGACTGAGTTAGGGCCAGTGGGCCCTTGGGAAAGGAACAAACAAGGACATGGTCCTCTGGGACCTGGCCCCAGAAGGTGGCTTCAGGCCAGAGGCTCAGTGAGTTACAGGGGTCAGGAGGCAGTTGTGACTGATGTGATCCAGGGGAGGAGAAAAGACACTGGCGCTCCCCAAACTCCAGAGGGTTTTGTGACTGCAGGATCTCCTCCCAGCTGCTGGAACCCTCCAACTCCTATTGAAAAGCTGCCATGTGCTAGGGACCTTGAGTGTATTGGCTAGATACTGACTCCTTCATGGGTACAGTGAGAGAGTTTAGCAAGGGCAGAGAACTGGAGAGGTGTGGTGTCATTTTTCTAATAAGGATTTTTTTTTTCACTTTTGCTTAACAGTTTGCCCAATTAGATGAATTCTTTCCTTGAGCCCTTTGGTGATTTTGATCTCCTTGTCTCTTGTCTAGGATACCTTTGAATGCTTTGTGCAACACTGCTTTGGGGGGGGGTCATTAATTTCTTTAGTGCTCCTTTTTATTGAAAGTCTTTTTTTTTGTCAGTTTTGAAAGAAATTTTTTGCAGGGTACCTTAATCAGAATTGTAAGGTGTTTTCTTCTAAGGCTTGAAAAACTTCACTGTATACCAAAGGAAACAGCAGAGTGAAGAGACAGTCCACAGAATGGGAAAAAACATTTGCCAGCTTATTCCTTGGACAGAGACTATCTAGAGGATATGGAAAGCTCAAAACTTCAGGCCTCCCAAAATAAAAGACCCAGTAAAATAAGGGGCAACTGAAATAGAAGCTTCTCAGAAGAGTACAAATGGCCAGTAATTATGGGAAAAAAAACTTCAGCGTCTTTGCCCATCAGAGCATTGCAAATCTAAACAACTCTGAGATTTCATCTTATTCCATTAAGAATGATTGGGGGAAACAGGAACTTTTCTACATTGTTTATGGGAATTCAAATTAGTACAACCATTATGGATAGCAGTGTGGTGATTATTCCTTAAAAAATAAAAGTAGAAATACTATTTGACTCAGCTATATCTTCCCAAAAGAATTAAGAGTTTTGCACTGAGGATACTATGGTTATGTCTTACCATCTTCACATGCCTATGCTACAGTTTCTCTTGATGTGGCTCCTTACTATCTTCTTTTTTCTTTTTTTGTTTCTCTCTCTTGTTTTTTGAGAGAGGGTCTCAATGTGTAGGCTAGGGTAGCCTCGAATTCACAGCAATGCTCCTGCCTCAGCCTCCTGAGTGCTGGGATTACAGGTATGCATCACAACACCTGGCTTAGTCCTTATTTTCTATCTCAAATTTACTTAGAATTTTTAGAAGATGAAACTAAATGCTTAGTAATTCATAAGACTAACTACTTTAGTAACTAAATGGTAGTTTCTATTTTAAATTTCATCTAACAACTAATGTTATAGTTGGATTTACCCCAAAATATATTTTGTTTGTTTATTTTGAGTCCATTCCCTTTCCATGTTTTATAGGTTAGTTTACTCCTGTGTGTTTTTCGTTTCACTTTTTTTTTTGTTTTGGTGCTGGGGATTGAAACTCAGACCTCATTAGATAACCAAATTATCTGCCTTGGAGCTACAAGTAAGATGTAATATCAGTGTTATTTTAATTTGCATTTATTTACTGGCCACAGACGTTGAACATTTTTCATGTGTTTATTGGCCATTTGTCCTTCTTTAGAGTGATGTTTATTCATGTCAGCTGCCTATTTCCTTGAGTCTTTTACTTGGAGGGGATCTGATTTTTTTTTTCATTCTTCATGTATTCTAGCTATCACTAGTCCTCCGTCCAAGGACTAGCTGGTAAATATTTTTTTCCTATTCTGTAGGTTTTCTCTTTACTCTGTCCTCCCCACTTTGTTTAGTAGAAGCTTTTTAGCTTGGTATAATCATATTTGTTAATTCTTTTTTTTTTTGGTGTGTGGGGGGTACCAGGGATTGAACTTGGGCAGCAGAACCACTGAGCTAAATCCCCAGCCCATATTTGTTAATTCTTGGTGGTGTTTCTTGTGCAAGGGGGGTTTTGTTCAGAAAGTCCTTGCCTATTGTGCCTGTATCTCAAGAATTTTGCCTATTTTAGCTTCCTTCGTTTGAAGTTTTCTTTTACTATTTAAGTTTTTGATCTATTTTGATTTTAGTTTAGTACATGGTGAGAGATTGTCTTCTGCATGTGGATAGCCAGTTTTCCTGGCCCTGTTTGTTAAAGAGACTGTCTTTTTTCTGGCATATGGTTTTGGCTCCTTTATCAAGGATCGGATGGCTGGGTATGCCTGGGGTTGGTTTTGCATCTTCTCTTCTATTCCACTGATTCACATATCTGTGTTTTTTGCTGGTTCCTGCTTTTTTTTTTTTTCAGTCACACATAGTATCTTTGTAATATAGCTTGAGATCTGGAGTTGTGACGCTCCTTGCTTTGTTCTTATTTCTCAGGATTGCTTTTGCCATGCTGTGTCTCCTCTGATTCTAAGTAGATTTTAGGATTGTTTTTTCTAGTTTAGTGAGGAATGCTGTTGGCATTTTGATTGGGATTACATTAAATCTATGTATAAATTTTGGGAAAGTGATTGTTTTGCTTATCTGGGAAGAGGAGTTATCTTTCCAATTTCTGATGTCCTTTTTGATCGCCTTCACAGTACTGTAGTTTTCATTATAGAGATCTTTCACTTTCTTGCTTAAGTTAATACCTGAGTATTTAAATTTCTAGATGCTGTTGTTAATGGCATTGTCCTCATTTCTTTCTTGGAGGTTTCATTATTGGTGTAGTGTAGTGTCATGCTGTTGGTTTTTGTGCGTTAATTTTGTATCCTACCTTTTGGAATCTGTATTAGTTCTAGGGGTATTTGGTAGAATTTTTTAGGTCTTCTATGTAAAGGATGATGTCCTCTCCGAATAAGGAGAGTTTTGACTTCTTTTCCTATTACTTATTCTTTGTACTTTTTTACTTTTGCCTGATTATGATGATTAATGTTTTGGATACTAGGTTGAAAAGGAGTGGTAACCATGGACATATTTTTCTTGTTCCTGATATTAGAGAAAAAGCTTTCAGTTTTCTTCATTTAATATGATATTGGTCATGAGTTTGTTGTAAATGACTTATCAGATAGCAATAAAGTCCTTCTGTTCTTATTTTCTTCAGAGTTTTAATCATGAATAGATGTTGGATTTTGTCACGGGCCTTTTCTACATCTTTTGAGATGATCATATGGGTTTTGTCCTTGTTTCTCTTTATGTGATGCATTATATTTATTTGTTTGCATGTGTTAAACTATCCTTGCATTCCTGGGATGACACCTACTTGGCCATGATGTGTAATCTTTTTAATGATTTGTTGCATTCTGTTTGTCAGTATCTTGTTTAGGACTTTTGCATCTATATTCATTAAAGAGATTGGTCTATAGTTTTCTTTTATGAGTCTTTGGTTTTTGTTCATGGTAATGCTAGCTTCCAGGAATGAGTCTGACAGTACTTCTTCCCTGTCTATATCATGAAAGATTTTGAGATGTCCTCATTGTATATCTTTCCTGAAGTTATAGAATTCTGTGATGAATCCACTGGGTCCTGGGCAGATTATTTTATTACTGTCTTAAATTTTATTGCTTGCTATTGGACTGTTCAGGGTTTTAATATCTTCTTGTAATTCATATATATCTAGGAATATATCCATTTCTTCCAGATTCTTTAACTTATTGGAGTACAGATTTTTTTTTTTTTTTCTACCTGGGATTGAACTCAGGTACTTGTGCTTGCGAGGCAGGTGGCAGAACCACTAAGCTAAATCCCGGCCCAAGTACAGATTTTTGAAGTAGTTTCTTATAATCTTCTGGATTTTGGTGGTGTCTGTTTTGATTTCACCATTTTCATTTTAAATTACATTGATATGTGTCTTTGTTTCCTTCTTTTGATAAGTTAAAACAAGGAAACATTACAAAATGTTACAGTAGTAGTTTCATCGGAGTAGCCTGTGACATTTGTATTTTCCTTGTGAGATAAAAAGCATTTCCTCTTACAAAAAAGAGCAAATAGTATATTTCTATTATTCTCTCATTTGACATCATAAGACAAGAGTCCATCATGAAAAACTAAGCCAGAACTCAGTAGAAGAAACAAAAAAATGTTCTTCTAATTGGGCTATTGCAGTAAGTTAGCAAAGATAGAGGGGAAGCTTGGAATTGAGTGGTAGCAGTAGTAATCTGCAAAATATTTGGATTTGGGATATGTTAGACAACAGCTAACTTGCCTGTGCTCTATTTTATTTTCTTAGTTTCGCTATTCAGATTGGCTGGACAGGTTATACATGGTGCTGGGAAGTCTAGGTGCCATTGTCCATGGAGCTGCATTCCCTGTTGTGTTGCTGGTGTTTGGAAACATGATGGACATCTTTGTAAGTGCAGGAAACCATAGTCAAAGTGAGTATTGTTTGTGGTACTTTTATTAGAAGCATGCAGGGAAACACTTAGGATAGCACTGAATAGGCACTATTGTGTTTAGTGCTTTGGGAAGTAAAGGGTGTAAGTGTAGTTTATGCTTGTCATAAATTTGAATAGATAGCACTCACCATCATTAGAATGCTCAGTGGAAATGCTGACAGATACGTAGAAGAGGAGAGAGCTCTATGATGTCTGAAGCACCATAAAAAGCTTCAGGAGGAGATAAAAATCAATCAGGACTTTCCGAGAATCTGGAATGGGTTACAAGGTTCCCTGACAGGTTGGATGTGAGTATGAGGAAGGGACCCAGGATGATTCTACAGTTGTAGCCTGAGAAACTGGATGGTTTACTATATTACTCAAGTGAGATAAGAATGATGGAAGGAAATTAGGTGTGGGCAGTGATCAGCAATTCAGTTTTGGATATTGTCATGGATTATTGGAGGGCGATCAGTCCTTTGATTGCCTAGAAACGGGGGCAGCGAGGGCTAAAACAAAGCAGAGACTGATAATTTCAAAGTATATGGGAGCTGGGAGATCACTGTCTCATAGTGGGCAAAGACAAAGACTGTTTATTGGGATCGCGCTATAATGGGAAGGAAGTATCAGGTGACTTAGGGAGTAGCAGTAATCCTATGCTGATGTAGATCTTATGCAGAAATCTCAGGTAGTTGAGGCTCTCATGTTGATGGAAGCAGTAAAGAAAGCATTCTTAACTGTAATTGGTGGGATGAATTAAGCTGAGAAGAAATTTGTACCTCCCCAGAGGAAACCTTTCTCTTACTACTCAGTTTCCAAGGAACCAGAATGTCTTTAGCTGATGTCATCTTGCCTTTGAGTGTCACAGCATCCCAGGACCGATGAGGTCTCTCTATTGTTACTGGAGGAAAAATGGGGCTCTGTTTTGGCATGTCATAGCCAGCTCCTGGGCAGGGTGACATTGGGCCTTAGATAGCTATAGTGAAATGGCTTTTCCACCAAATTCTGTAGAATGGCTCTTGAAAATGGATTAGCAGGAAGGGAGAAATGGGTCTTAGAGAAGTATGTGATTACATGTGATTGTATGTTTGTGTGTATTTTAGGGTGGAGGACATCATGTGTTTGTTAATTGAAATAATTCAGAAGAGAGAAAGTAATAAATGACATTTGAAACACTAAACTTGCTGGGAGATAAGTTAGGTAGAACTCTTGAAGACATTGGCATTTGAAACTATGGATGGCACAGAACACTACATATATAGTATTTTTCCTTTATATTCATATGTATGATAAAGTTTAAAATATAAATAGTACACAGTGAGATTAGCAACAGTAAGTAGTCATTAAGTAACACCAATGTAATAATTTAGTCTCCAGTGAGTTAAGTGAACCTGTGCTTGCACAGGATCTCTGTCTCTCACACTGTTGTATGGTATCGTCCTCTCCCAGTTGTAGCGATGGAGACCATACAGTGCCGTGGTTGACAAGAAGCTGAAACCATGGAGAGAGAAACTGGGGGTTTGGGCATGACTGTCCTTCAGTTTTCTCAGTGATGTAAGAAGCAAGCATTTGGCTGATAAAGGAGGGAGAGGTAAAACAGTTGAGCAAGAGGGAGAACGTGAATGGAGTATTAAATAATTTGTGTGTAGCACATCTATTCTCAACTTGGGGGAGACAGATAAATGGCTTTGGGCTTAAATCCTCAGGGTATCTCTAGTGAAGACTGGATTCACAAGGGCTCACAAGTAAGTCTGCACTTTGATGTTCAAAATGTTAAAAATGCTGAAACTACCGGTTTGAGAATAACCTTGAAAATATACTGATAGCTTCTAACAACGCTTCACTTTTTGGACTTTAAAGTCACTGTTGATTGGTACAAATCTTTTCCCCCAGGACTCATGCACATTAATATTCATACCAGTTTGAGGTGTAGATGGAACATTTGATGCTTGTCCATTGGTCTTGGGAAGTACAGAATGTGCAGTAAGTGTTAGCTGTGTAGAATTCTTATGCACTTATTACCTCCCTTCATAGCATTCAGAGACACCTGCAGTAAGATGCTGTGCTGCCTTCGAACTGGCATCTTTGGTTTTATATCATGCATGAAAGGAGGTCCTCAGTGCTTTCTAAATTCACTATGTTCTAGTCACCATATTTCTGTATATTCTATATTCACTATATTTCTATATATTTTATTCACTGTATTTCTAATTTCACTATAAATTTCCTATATACCATGTGCTGGGCACCACTGTGCAGAGTTAGCTCTCTTTTAGGCTTATAGTGGAATCAGCGAATCTTTCTGTGCTCCCTGGTAGCTCAGCAGGCCTGGTGTGCACATTTCTGCCCAGTGGTAGGGTCCTACCCAATTTGTCATGAGTACAAACACAAACATTGCTCTAAGACTGTCAGAGGTGTTATAATAATCATCATGATGTGCCTCTGCACACACTGAAGAGACAGCAGCTGACCTTACACGTGAATCAGAAAATTTTAGGTTATTTAAACTGCTGTTTACTGATGACCTTAGGAACAGCAGATCATCATGTGGCTCTGTTTAGCTAACAGAGCTGAATTCTGATGAGCCACAGTAATCTAAGCTTGTGTCATATCCACTGCTCTTTTTTTTTTGCAACAGGGATTGAACTTGGGACCTTGTGCTTGTGAGGCAGGTAGCAGTACCACTGAGCTAAACCCCGGTTTGACCGCTATATCTTTTTATACTAGCATTAAAATTTGTATTACAGTTTATGCCCATTGCGCAGACATGAATTGGCTTTTATTCTTAAAAAGAAACAAGGGCTCTCTAAATCAAGCAGTCAGACATGACCAGGTTTATCCAGAACACCTGCAGATGTGTGAGTGCTCTGGTCTGAAACTTGTGTCCCCCGAAATCCCTGTTTGAAATCTTAACCCCTACTGTGATTGTATTTGGAGGTGGTGCCTTTGGAAGTTGTTCAGGTCGTGATGGTAGAGCCCTTATGAATGGGATTAGTGCCCTTAGACCCCGGATTGCTGCCTGGCCCCTTCTGCCATGTGAGGATGCAGGTAGAAGATGCCACGTATGAACTAGAAGACAGACTCTCCCCAGACACCAAGTCTGTCTTGATCTTCAGCTTCCGGTGTCAGGAACTGTTTGTATGCTAACATTTTGTTACAGCAGCCCAAATGTATGAAGACGGATCATAATCTGACTTCCTGGAGACTTAATGGCGTGAGTTGCCAAACAGATGATGGTCTAGTTATTGCAAGTTTGGAATACACCCACATTAAGTATCCGTTGTAGAGGTAAACAATTTGTCATAGACCAGCATTTCCTTAGTCACTAGGTCACCAGCTTTCACCTTTCAGGGAGAATGGGCGCCCTCAGGTGAGAGTCCACAGGTGCGATTTAGCCCTCTGCTTCGTTTTTTTATACCTGTGAGCCAAGAGTGGTTTATATAGTGTTAAATCACTGCAAAAAATGAAAAGAAGACATATTTGGGGACACGTGAAAATATGAAAATCAGTGCAAGTATGAAATTCAGTTTTCAGTGTGTAAAAATAAAGTTTCACCAGAACAGCTACAGTTTTCACTTCCATGTTGTCTCTGGCTACTTTCATGCCTCAGAGACAGAGTAGAATAGTTGTGACCGGGGACGTGTGGTCTGCACAGCCTAAAATATTGATTGGGTGGTGCTTTATAGAGAAAGGTGAAGATCTCTGAAGTAGGGTATGGAGTAGTTATTGTCTTTAGTCAGTCTATCAATGAATTTGCATTAAAGTTACAGTACCCCCTCTATTCACTGTCAAACATTAAGATTCTCGATGTAGCAAGGACAGACAAGGCCATCAGCTGATGTGTCTGGGTATGAGTGGTGCAGTGTGGTAGTGATATGCAGAATGGTTTGAAAAGGAGAGGAAGGGCGCCTGAGTTTGGGATTCTGGTCCCAGAGATGAGGACAAACTCTCTGTGAAGCTTCTGGAGAGAAAACCAGTCTACTGAGGTGTTGGAACCCTAGATACTCTCAGATCTTCTTTTTTTGCATGTGCAAGGCAGAGCTTCTCCGTGGGCTGGACTGAACATCAGGTCCTTCTTGTTGGAATTGTACTCTTTTGTTTAGCTCTTCTTAGCTTTGCTGAGGCTCTTGAGACCCTGAGGGCCTCACACTAGACTCGGGGTTTAACCAAACTGCTCTACAGAGGCATAGGAGCCCTTCTTTTCTGGCTGAGAAAGACCCCTGTGGATTTTCTCCTCTTCTGATCTGATGCTTTGCTGATCATCGAATGTAAGTTTCCATCCTGCTATTTTACTGTGGGCCTGATTTCCTGAGCTCCTGCTCTGATCTTTCTCTCTGGTTGTCAGAATTTGTGCAGATTTTGCCTTAACATCTGAGAAACGGGGCCTAGGAAATTCTTTTTTTTTATTTGGTACTGGGGATCAAACTCGGATCCTTGTGCTTGTGAGGTAGGCAGCAGAACCACTGAGGTAAATCCCCGGCCCCTAGGAAATTCTTTAGAAATGCCAAATCACTTTTGTGAACAAAGCTTTTCCACTGAAGAATTACTACCATGTCCTGTGAATTTACATCTTCTAAGAACTGGCCACTGTCTGGATGTGGCCTATGCAACGGCCATTGTAGTTGTAGATGTTTTTCAAATTTTTATTTATTTTATTATTATTTTATTTTTAGTTTTAGATGTATTGTATTGGAGGTGAAAGGCCAGGGTTGAGGGCCACAAGTGTAAGTGAAATTGAGATAGTCCCAGAAGTGGCATTGAATGGTGGCACAACACATAGCTTTAGAAACTCCTCAGAGTGAAAGGCCGGTTGAGGGCCACAAGTGTAAGTGAAATTGAGATAGTCCCAGAAGTGGCATTGAATGGTGGCACAACACATAGCTTTAGAAACTCCTCAGTATTTGAGTTGAAGGCGATGTTAACTCTTTTTAGGGTATACAAATGGGAGCCCTAAGTCTCGAGAAAGGACTCAGTCGTTGACAATAGCTAAAGGAAACAGTTTTTTAGCATTTCTTATGTGCTATATACTCTTCTTAGTGTTTTCCTCACACTAACTCCTTTAATGTTTTCATGAACAGGCATTTGATGCTGTATATACTGAGGAAAATGGAGCCCCGAGAGATTTAAATCACCTGAGGTTACACAGTAAGCAGCAGAGTTGGGATTTAAGTGTTAGTCTGACTGGTACTGAGGCCAGGCACTGAAGGAAATAGAGAGGTAGTCAGAGAAGAGACTGAGGAGAACACACTTACTCAGAAAGTAAGGACCTGAGGAGATTTTCCATGTATCATAGAGGATAGTATTCAAAGATACTTTTCAAATGAACTCTTGACTATTCAGTGTCTCTGATGATTCATTTTGTCGTATATCCATATTGGTGCTTTTCTCTTTCTCCAAAACATTAAGATGGTTGCTTCTGTTTCTTCCTTACCCAACTGTGGGCAGTGTAATTGAGAAACTGAGGCACTCAAAATCTTGTATGCAGTATTAATTTATATGAATAGGAGAAAATAAAAATAATTTATCTTTACATTTGTCACTTCTAGTCTCACTGCCTTAAAATTCATGAGGAAAACTATTCGTGAAATGGCAGCTCTCTCAAAGCAGTACAGGTCGAGTATCCCTTTTCAAAAGCATTTTGGATTTTTTCAGATTTTGGTATATTTGAGTACACCTACCAGTGTACCTGGAAATTGGACTGTACCTTACTCACATACTTTACAGGTAGTTTTATAAAATTTTCATAATTAACTTTGTGCATGAAATAAAGTTTACTAAGTGAGAATTTTCTATCAGTGACGTGTCAGTGCTCAAAAGGCTTCAGGCATTGGATTTTAGATAATCTGATTGGAAAAATTTAAGGTATATTTACCTTTTGTTTTTGTCCTTTGAAAATTTATTTCAGTATTTAGAATGTTCAGCATATGTTTGCTGTACATAGTGATTACATTGATCATGGGGAGGTATACTTGGTAACCATGTTAATTTTCTTAGTTTTCCCTCCTCTATTGCTTCCTTCTCCCTCTAGATACTGTTTTCATTTGCAAAGATTTATCTCTGTATTTCATTTTATCTGTCTTTTATTATCTTCTAAATTGTGTAAACTTTGGGTTTCTATGTGAGAAACCATGCAGTGTTTATCCTTGTGTGTCTGATATATTTCACTTACTTAGCTTTATGGTCTCAGGTGCATCCATTTCTGTACAAATGACTCAACTTATATTTATTTTTTGATGCTTGAACTATGAGTGTATAAAACATGTGCAGACCTTATATAAGGGCTAATTGAAAATGTAGTGAATGTTAAAGTTTTTAAAAATTATTACAGCCATACACACATGGCTATTAATACTCCTCAAAAATACTCCTCTTTGATTTGACCATGATTAAGCCATCATTCTCGCTGCTTTTTGAGGCGGTTTTGGAAATTGTCTTTTGAGTCTTTGGTTGTACTGTCATGTCCTGAATGGATTTAAAATATTTACAAAATTTTCATGGTCGTTTGTACTTGGGGAAGAGCAGGAAGTTCAATGGTGCCAGATCTGATGAACTGGGTCGATGCGGGCACAGCGTAATGTTTTCCTCCATGGGATGGCAGTTCCCAGCAATGGCATTCAGTGTGTTTTTGATCACATCTCTTAAAGGTACTTGCAAAAGGGAACTTCCAGAACTGCTTCAGAAATTGTAGAACTGCAAGAAAATGACTCTAGACTTAGAAGCCACTATTGTCAAAGAATGTTTATTTAAATTCTCTTGGTTCTTAAACTTTAGTGCAAAATCTGGAAACCCAGAATCTGCAATGTCCTGATACTGGAAACATTTTGAGCATCAGTGCTCATATTGGCTTTTTGGCTTCTTATACGGGGGGTCATCCACCTGTACCATCTATACAAACAGTTCAAATTGTGAAAAATTCTAAAATCTGAAGTACTTCTAGTCCCAAGCATTTTAGTTAAGGGAATTTCAATCTGTAGTAGTAATGAAGGGAAAACATATACTTAGACTTTAAAGCTTTTGTCTTGATTTGGTATTAACACACCAAATATTTGATAATCAAATATTCTCTGACGTCTAGAGAAATTAGAAAATACACAGTGAGATCTTACAAGATTGATTGGAGAAACATCTTTTGGTGATTGAGTATTCTGTTTCATTTTTATATGTGGGACAGAAGAAATCTCAACTGAGTGATCTAAATAAAAATTTAGTCTTAGATATTTTATTTTTCAGAAGGTGAAGAGTCACGGAACTCTCCTGTGTCTCTCTATTGCTTCCTTATTTTCTGCCTTGTTCATGAATGTATTTTTCCCCCGTGTTCTATGCTTGGCCTGCTATTCCTTTACCTGCCGACCTGTCCTTACAGGTAAAGAGAAATGGCTTTTCCTTTCTGAATTTAGCAATAGCCCTAAGTTATTTTACATCTGACTCTCTCCAGGACTGGAGAACAACAGTCTCAGTACTTATTGGACATCTAATTGAATGTCACAGGGACTACGACAGTTTATAACTGTTCAAGCCTGAGTGGACAGTCTTCCTTCAGTCATGTAGGCCAGCTGTTTTTGCCGATTCTTCTACTACCACGACACCACCGTTCTCCAAATGCTTAGGCTTCGCGTCTTGATCACGTCTTAATTTTACTCTGCGTGTATTCCATCTGATGTGAGTCCCTAATGTTTTTTCCAGTATAAATCTTGTTTGTTCTTTGTTTTATTTTCTCATGTAGCCCTTCTCTCCCTATATAATTGCAGTATCTCAGGTCCTTTACTCTTTCTGTTCCAACAGTACTGCCTGCAAAATACAGCCTTACTGTGCTTCTGATTATATCCATTTTATTTATTTATTTTTTTGTACTGGGGATCGAACTCAGAACCTTGTGCTTCTGAGCTAGGCACAGTGCCACTGAGCTAAATCTCCAGCGCTATATCCACTAATTCCTGTTTGTCTGTTTCTGTGATACCTGCCTGGCCTTGAGTCTTTCCAACCACGTCTGCCTCCTTATGGCCACACAACATACCTTCAGCTCAGCCAAAGTGGCTCACTCATCTTCAGATGTACTAGACTTTGGTCTACATCGTTCACATTGCCAGAAATCCTTGTCCTCCCTTCCCCACACCTGTCCAGAGCAGAGACCCCTGAAGGAGACCCACTCACATTGTATCCTGAGTTATTGGCTCAGCTCTGAGATCTAAATTGTGCCTCTATTAATGCAGCCCTTTTGATTATGATCATTTACCTTATAAAATATTTACCTTATGTATATAGCTATGTGTTCAAGTATGTTTGCACTCATGTACTGATGTGGAAAATTGAACCCGGAATATAGGCTGTAATTGCAGGAAAAAAAAACAGCATGCTGTGTGCTTGTGTATTTGTATGTCTGTGTAAATGCATCCATAAAAAATTGGAAATATACACACAAAAGTGGTGAACAGTGGTTATGTGCATGTGTGTATATGTGTAGGGAGCAGGTTAATGTTATGAAATACTTTTTAATGTGCTTATCCCAAAAATGTTAACATTTCCTCTAGTGTTTATTATAGTAATCTTTGTATTTGATAATTTCCAAAAAACACAAAAACTGGCAAAATGTAGTATTAGATTTCAAGTATTCCCTGAAATTCATGTGTACATTTATATGTATTTACCAGTGTGGTTTCTTCTTGCAAATAAGCATCATTGCATTTGGTCTCTGTGCAGTTACACAGAAGAGCAAGAAAATATTTGAATGATAACAGTGTGCTTAGCCAGAAGTAAAGCTGTCTATTTCACATATTCCATGTAATTATTAAGTGATTCTGATTCCAGTTTTCATATGCTTGATTTTAACGGAGGTGAAGAAGACATGAGTGATGTGTGTGTTTTGCGGTGTTCTAGGTGACGACAACACCACAGCGAGCTTCGGCACCCTGGAGGAAGACATGACCGTGTAAGTAGACATTTCCTTACACTTATCTCATTACACACTTGTCTCTACCCTTTCCTGCATCAGTTCCTTTATAGAAATGTTTAACATTTTGCATTATCCTGATGAGAAATTAAAATTTTCTGTAGAAGAACACTGTTGTTAGGTTTCAAGGAGGTTATGGTGTAGAATTTTTAAAGAATATTTTTAAACAAAAGCTTGTGTTTCATAAGATGTAATCCTAAGTAGTTACATAAGCATCGTGAACTATAGAATACAATACACATGGAAGGTAGACAAGTCTCATGTAGCTTGTTAAAGCATGATTGAATTAGGAATCATTATTTTTAATGGCTTTATAGTTATTAGTTTTCCTTTTGGATATGTTTAGTCATAGGATCAGCCAACAGGAAATTTTAAACTGAGCATCTGATTCTCAAGAATGAAATAAAACTTTGCAGAAGAGATATAGTCATTCTGACCTTAATTTACCCCTGGAAAACTTTGTTAACTGACTTACATTATCTTGAAGTTTACTCCCAGAAGAGTTTATAACTGAGTTGTAAAGAACACAGTGATATCTCAGTTCACCAGCTAGATTTCTTCTACTATCCTGGTCGCAAGCAGATTTGGACGAAAACAAAATGAAATTAAGTGGTTAGGTTCATTGTTGACCTTATGGGGAAGTTTGATTTGGTTCTTGTTCTGTTTCGTTTGATTCTGTGATCGGAATTATGGAGAGAACTGAGTTTGTGATCTGAAGTACTGCTTGTATGTTACCGAGTTAGAAGATAATGATTCTGTTATACTTTAAATGATGTAATAGATTTGAAGAAAAAGGAGATAGTTTATATTTTGAAACTTGAAAAGCAAATGTCCTCAGATATTCCTGTGGAGAGGCATAGTTTTTTTACATAGTGAAAACCAGAATGCCTCGGTGGTTTAAAATACATTACTTTAAAGCACATTACTAGCTGGGTGTGGTGTTGCACGCCAGTAAGTAATACCAGCACAGGGGAAGCTGACACAGGAGGATTGCTGACACTTTGAGCCCAACCTGGGCTACAAAGTGAGTTTGAGGCCACCCTGAACTATATAGAGAGTGAGACCCTGTCTCCAAAACAACAACAAAAACCCAACACCACAACAAACATTTTCCAACACATACACATTACTGTTTGTCAAACACTGAGTTCATGTAAAATTGGATTTCTTTGTACCTCTGTTTGCTATATCATTAACACCTGGGTAATAATTACTGAGTTATCAAATAAAATTCAGTGTCATATGTTATCTGATAAGTATATTATAAGTTGCAAAGTGCACTGTTGGGGAAAGTTTGTTTCATATTTCTGATGGATTGAGAACAGAATTTTCAGTAGCAGTGTCGGAGAAGATCTACTTATCACACACTTTTATAGCCTGTGTATGCTACACACGTGTTTATTACATTATAGCAGTTAGAGATCTTCTAAACATGGAAAAATTGTTATCTTGTGTTTTAAGTTCAAAATATATGCCTTTAATTTAAATATTGATTGCTTAGTGAAGCCTAATTGTTTGATTTTGTAAAAACGAACACTAACAGCATGGAAACATTAAATAAATATTTCTTGATATCAGAGCCCTCTTTTAGAAGATGCTTATGGTTTTTAGTGTTAGAGTTTTAACTGAAAGGAAAATTGGAAATGACTCATTAAACATTTTAGGATGCCTCGTGATGACTATTTGGGGAGGTAATATAAATGTACTTTTTATTTTCGCTTGTCTGCTAATACTCAGTTTCTGTTAAACTAATAGCCTAAACGGTCAAACATTTCCATCTCTTTCTTCCACTTTGCTCCAAGTTCTGTCACTTCTTTCCATCTGTGAATGTGCAGATGCCGCCCGGAAGAGCTCATCAGTTGATGCCGACGTCATGAGAGTAGACAGGGCCACCATGATCCTTCTTGCCTGTGTCCCACACCCCCCAGTCATTTTCAACACTCATTTTTCTGAGACTTACTGTGTACCGGGCACTGGCCCCAGTGTACCCCACACACAACTGCCTGACTATTCTTATCACCCCTTTAACAACTAGAAGACTGAGGCTTGGGAAATTTCAGCAGCTTGCCTGAGATTACACAGCAGTTAAGCCAAGAAGTGGGATCTGAGCCAAAGCAGAAAGCATTCTTAACTATTCCTATACGGTATGTTGCTACAGATGTCGCTGCAGAGTGATCATCTTCTCTGCTTCTCGTAAGCACTTCTTATTTGTTAAGAACAGTGTGATACCTCACTAAAAAACTAAGACTGAGTGGTCTGATCTGGAGAAATGGGTTCATTAGAAAACAGTGTGGCAGTGTTTTTGTTGTTTTTTCAGGTATGCCTATTATTATACTGGAATCGGTGCTGGTGTGCTTATTGCTGCTTACCTTCAGGTTTCCTTTTGGTGCCTGGCAGCTGGACGACAGATACAGAAAATTAGAAAACAGTTTTTCCATGCTGTAATGAAGCAGGAGATAGGCTGGTTTGATGTGCATGATGTGGGAGAGCTGAACACCCGGCTCACAGAGTAAGTACCTAGTTTTACGTGTAACTCAGAGGTGATTCTCATTGTAAATGAAATGCGATAGATGTCATCAAATCTCTTAGGACATGTTAGTACACCACTCAGAAGACTAAGTTCCTCCTGGGTAGAAACCAGGTCTTGTGTACCTGGCATGGAAGGGTGGGACCTACGTGAGTGGGGAGTGGACTTGCCTAAATCAAGGAATACTCGGAGTGTGTGCAGCACAGCAGTATGCAGCAGAGCATGCAGTGGTACTTACTGGTCACAGTTTGTAGTTTCTGCATTGCATACTTCCTGAGTAAACACCTCCATTTCCTGGGACCATGTGGACTACGGATTTCTGTTGTCAATGACAGATTTCCTGCTAGGAACTGACAGCCTGATAAGTGAAACAAAGGTGCACAGAAAGACCGTAGGTATGAAATATTTATGCTGCACTCAGCAGAATAAAACAAAACAAAACACAAAACTTGGGATAGCAAAAAAGTTCTGTGTGTAATTCTGACATTTCTTCTAACATTATCTATTCTTTAGTGATGTCTCCAAAATTAACGAAGGAATTGGTGACAAAATTGGAATGTTCTTCCAATCAATGGCAACATTTGTGGCCGGTTTTGTAATAGGATTTACCCGTGGTTGGAAGCTTACCCTTGTGATTTTGGCCGTCAGCCCTGTTCTTGGACTATCAGCTGCTATCTGTGCAAAGGTAGGTGAGGCCTGTGAATCCAGGTTTTAACTCCCCTACACCCCATGGAAGGGTCTTGGACTGTGATAGTCCTAATGTTGTATTTCATAGTTGCTTTTATGTCTTCTGTTGCAAACCAGCAGGATAAGCTGATGCAGCTTCACTGAGTACTGCCTTTGCCATGGCTGTGTGGTGTCCTTATCACATGGTTATTTGGGGAAGGGGTAAGAAAAAACAAGTAGGTCTTATATTTCATTCTCTCTCTCTCTATATATATATATAAAATAGATACTACACTCCAGAGTCTATATTAGGGTTAGCATTAGGGCATTCATTAATTAATCAATTTTTATTTTAGATAAAAAATTAAACAAAATTTCATCACAAAATAATAAAAGATTAATAAAAGTTGCTACACTGTATTTTTATCTTCTAAGAGGTTACTCCCACTACAGGACATAAACAAAAAGATTCTCCTACAAAGAAAAAACACATAATAGCACTCAACTTACTTTTCAGTGAACTAGGAGAAACTAATAATAAAATGTAACAAATTAGCTTGTACATTCAAATATTTTTGAAGCACAGTGGAATAAGTAATTTATTTTCTTTTCAATGCTCAGGAAACACTTACTAAGATAGACTACATCCTTTGCCATAAAACAAACCTCAGAGAATTTAAAGGAATGCAAACCATACAGTGTCTTATCTCTGACTATGGCAGTGAAATAAGATAAGAAACTTTTTAAACACATGGAAATAAAATAGCAGACTTATATAATCCTTTGATCATACAAAGAATGCCAAAGTTAATTTGAAAACTATAGAAAAACAACAGGAACAAAACTGTGGTATTAAATGTTTAAACTAGAAATGAGGAACTATCTCAATTCAGTACAGTAACCTAAGTTCCTATCTCAGAAAACTAGAAAAACAATAATAAAATAATAACAGTCAAGTAGAAGAAGGAAAGTACAAAGTTAAATGCAGAAAACAATTTCAAAACAGAAAAAACAGCAACAATGAAACCTAAAATGGATTCGAAAAGTATTTATTAATAAATCTGACATCTAGTGATGTTGACAAACATAGAGACAGAAGACACAGGTTGCCAATACCAGAGTCTTATAAAAGGGTGTCACTAATCCTATAGACATTAGAAAGATAAGGAATGCTATGCAAACAACTTTATGCTCATAAATTTGTCATAAGAATACCCAAACTTAAATGCACTAGATGATCTGAATTGTCCCAGAACTATTAAGTAAATAAGGAATTCCTCAGATGCAACACCTACCTAAGATTGTGGGTAATGGTGAAAGACTGCCTTCTCTCTAAGACTGGAAATAAGAGGATGCCCCTCTCACCACTCTTCAGAGCACCAGGATGCCTAGCTCTTGCAGTAAGGAAGACAATGATGAATAAATTAGAAAGGAAGAACCAAAAATACATCTATTTATGGATTGTGTGAACTTTTTTCCATTAAATTTATTGGTACATTTTAGGTATACAGTATGCTGTGGCTTTAGAGAGAGATTCACTCCAGTGGTCGTTAATTCAGGCCTTGAAGCCATGGCGTCCAGGCTCGGATCCTGGATAGCCCACTTGCTAGCAAATTGCTTAATGCTCATTTCCATTTCCTCATCTGCAAGTGGGAAAGTTAATATGGATTCACTGTGCAATGAAGAAGAATGAATGAATCTTTGGTCCACAGAATAGATGCTGAGGAACCAAACAGAAGAAGCACAGAGCACACAGAAAGGAGACTTCCCTTGGTGGCTGACTGTTCTCCTCTTTCTAGGAGCTCCAGCAGAGGAGACCCTGCTTCCCTTCCCCCTTCTTGGAGTCAGGGTCCCCGCATTCCTCTAC